GGCCCGGCCCTCTCCTGCGGGGGGAGAGGGCGGACACACCTGCGGGTGGAGGAGCTTATTGGACACTGTCCTCCCTGACAGGAGGGGGCCTGGCAAGGAGACAGGCGCCCGCCCCCCACCCCGGCCGGCCCCGGCACCTCGGCCCTCTCCTGCGGGGGGAGAGGGCGGACACACCTGCGGGTGGAGGAGCTTATTGGACACTGTCCTCCCTGACAGGAGGGGGCCTGGCAGCGGGAGGGCACAGGGTGCCGGCCTGGGGAGAGAGAGGAGTGCGAGGGGGAGGGAGGGGAGGCACCACGGAGAAAACTTCACCGCCGTTTCCGGCCGCCCCCCTCGCGCGTGCTGTCCGACCCCAGGGAGGACAGTCCTTGAGGCCCCTCCGCCCCTCCCGGTCCTGGACGAGGCCATCCCCAGCCGGGCTCCCGGTGGACACTGGGGTTCAATCCAGATCGACACGCTCTAACCCACCACCTCGTACCCAGAGGCTCTGGCTGCGAGCAGGTGCTCTTGCCCTGAGCTAAGAACGCACCATTCGATTTGTCCCCTATGAACCTCTCCACAATAATAATACACACTACTAGCAAAAATCAGTTGAAAGCTGTACCACAGACTGCAGAAGTGCTTTTCACCCCTTCGCTCCTCCTCACATCTCTCCCAGGATGATATAGAACCATCCATGGCTCCCAGTCACCTTCTGAAACACGCAGTTCCCAGATGGGGATGGATCAGGTTCCCAAATTTCATTTAGAAGTCACATTTTTGAAACTTGGTGTCCATCTCCTTATAGAGACTACACATTACATCGGTATTTCCCAGAATGTCCCCTTGAGAAAGGGACTTCTGTGGTCAAGTAGATTTATATAGCCAAGCTCCTCTGGGACAGTTCAAGTCACATTAACAAATAAAAACATCCTCTCACACTCCCAACTTCTTTAGTAAATAAATCTTTATATCTTTGTTTAACTTAGTATTTTCTGGAATTTACTTGACTTAGAAACCTTCTCTTCTATAAAATATGCCTTTTATTTATCTAATTTTCCTGTAAAATCTTCCTGCAAAATATGTGAAACTCAGTTTGATGAAGTTCCTAGGCCATGTGGTAAACCCGCTTCATTTGGAGTGCTTGTTCCCAAATTACCATTAGATATGCAAGGGATAGATATACAGACCCACTGAAGTAGAAGCTGTCTTCTTGGTTAACTGTCTCTTGTACTTCTAGCTGGCCGGCAGCCCCTCGCTCACTCTCTCCCTTTTTACCTTGCCCCAGACACTGTCTCCATCTGTCCTCTTTTCTCTTTCTCTTGTGTTCTTCCTGCATTTGCCCACATTTGCTCTTGCAGCCACGCATCATCAAAGACAGGAGAGAGGGTGTGTGTACACACGTGAGTGCAATCAAGAGCGCGAGCACGTGAGCCCAGATGGAACTCAGAGCCCGGCCCAAAGCAGCATAACCAACATCTGTATGAGTCTATATGCCAAAATAGGAAAGATTTAGGATTATCCACAGTTGGAGATTAGTGCCAATAATCCTCCCACCTCCTCCACGCATCCCTTCCTGGCCCATCCCCTCCCAACCAACTTATGTCTGATGACTAGTCAAGTTGTCAGTAGAGCAGAGCAGTTTTGAAATATGTGAATTATGTGTCTGTTATGCTGCTCTCTCCCAGATTAAGGAGGGTGGTTGAACTAAAGCCTCTCTCCCTGCGGGGACAAGACAGCCGGACTGTGGATGACAGGTTACAACCCTCCCTCCTCCGCTGGCCCACCAGCACCAATAGCTCCAGCTACCTCACTACCTGCACATGGTGGCTGTTTTTGCAAGGGAGAAGACAGGAGAAAGGTAAAAAGGGCTGGAGGTGCTATGGTGTAAAGAACGGGACAGCCACTGAGCGGGGAGAGGGGGCAGAGGGGTGCTGGAGGAGGGCGGCCCAGCCTTTCTGGAAGAGTAGAGTCTCCAGAAGCCCAGGGGTCTGGAAGGATTCCAGGCTCGAGAGAACTTTTCTTTCTCAACTAGTTTTGTTAACTGGCCAGCAGTCTGGGCAGGGAGCTCGTCCCACGCTGACAGGGCTCTGGGCACCATCCCCCCATGGTTATGGTGTCCAGCACTGTCTTCCTTCTCCCAGAACCCTTTTCCCTTTCCTCCCACCACTGAGAAAGCTCCTATCTCCCAGACCATGGGAAGCCTCACAGGTAGGAGGCCCTCCTGGTGCCCCTCGCCCCAGCCCTTCTTTCAACTTAGCAACTATTTCTGCTGCACGTATGCTCACGAAAGCCTCTGGAAGATTCCGCTCATGCTCATAAAGAGTGAGTGGAGCCTTTGAAGGCTTCACTTTAACATAGGACCACATTTACAACAAAAACAGCCCCTCCTTTTGGGAATGTAGGGAGAATCTAGAACTTCCTGAGGTTTCTGGCCAAGCCTCTCACACACTATCTGATATAACCTCGTAGCACCCCTGGCTAAAGTCCCCATTTTACAAATGAGGACACTGAGGCTCAGAGAGTTAAATGACTTGCCCATGAGTGAGCGCTGGAGTTTGTTCTCACAGGAAAGGTCTCTGGGAGAGTTTCAGAAGGCTCAGCTACAAACCAGAACCCAAGAGGCTTAAGAGGGAAATGCTGGGCCGAGCAAGTATGGCGGGAGACTATTCTTCTTCAAGGCCAGAGGATGTTTAGCACCAGAAGTTTGTTCAGGAAGAAAAGATCCTGAGTAGAGGTACTCAGAGGATTTTTTCCCTAAAAAGCAGAGAAAAAAACCTTGGTCCTGGAGAATTTAAATGGGCTAATGGCAAGGGTAGTGTTTGGGTGGACTCTGAGGAAATGCCTTTGAAAAACACGGTTGCTCTTACATCAGGCACAGCATAAATGCAGCCCAAGTGCCCAGTGCTTTGTGGGCTCTTAGTCTTCTGTGATTTAGGTAACATCTGAGGATTACTTAAAGAGCAAATGCAAAGATCTCCAGTTGTTTTTTTTTTTACATACATAATTATAATTTGCTAGAAGAAATAGTAGTCAAATAGTGGAGGGATACAACTCTGTCTTTTTCTCTGGCTTTGTTTTCTCAATATCCAAAAAGAAATGAGCTGCTAAGGCAACTCTATACCATTGAAGTAGCACAGATTTTGAGAAGGGACAATGGTGCAAAGATCTTGACTGCTTTGGAGAACATGCTCTAAAACCTCACGCCCTTCATGGTTCTGGAAATTTAGTTTCCAAACTGGAATTTCCTTCACATGCTCTTCCTGATGCTTCCATACTCTTATACCTTCTCCCTTCTACCATCCCCAAGCTGTGACCTCAGTTCCCTGGCCAACATGGGCTCCTACTCTGTCCTCACAGCCCCCTGAACCTGGGGTCAACCTGGAGGTACTGAGCTTCTGGCAAACTCAGCTCTGCTTGCATGTGTCACTCTCTGCGAACTGGACTCCTCAGTCCTTGGTGAATCATGAGTGGTAACAGAAGGAAGGGATAATGGAGGTGGAAGAGCAAGTGAGAGAGGGACTAAGGAGGAATGGAGGAGAGAGGTGTAGGGATAAGGTGAGATTCCAGGTCTGAAGCAAATCAAACCATAGGATGCCCAGCCAAACTGGAATTTCAGATAAATAATGAATACTTTTTCAACATAAGTATATCCTGAATATTGCATGGGCCATGTTGAATGTAACATTTAGGACATACTTATACTAAAAATGCATCCATCATTTATGTGAAATTCCAATTTAAGTGGGCACCCTACATTTTAAATGACAACCACACTCCGAGATCCTTCCAAGTCCTCCCTCTCCATCTAACACCCTGCAACCAAGCAAATTTCCTGAAAGCTGTTATCTTCATTCCATTACTCTCAGCTCAAAGACCTCCCATCATCTTCCACTGTCTACCGCACCACATGAAGCATGAAACCTTTTCATTTTGAATGGTCAAAACCCTCCCCAGCACAGCCCCTCCCTCACAGGCGGTCTCACCGAAATCTCCTTCCTCCCCAGAGCCTGAAGCTTCCTCACTCTCTGTCCTTCGACTCTTCTCCTCCCAGCCCACGCCTTTGTCCATTCGATTTTCTCTGCCTGGAATCCCCTCCCCTTCCTTTATTTACACCTGCCTTCCTCATTACTCCATTACTTGGTGCCTTGCAGATTTCACTGCTGTTGAATAGGTCTGATTTTCATCTAAGCTCAGACCTGAGGCTTCCTGAGGGCAGGGACCATTATCTTCTTCCTGACTCCTCAGTAGTGTGGCTCTGGTGGCCTGGGAGGGGTGGGTGGGGGAAGGTTTGTTTACTGGATGGCAAGAGGGGAGCAAAGATCAGGGTAGACAGAGAAAGGGGTTAGGGACAGGATTGAGAGGTGGACGGAAGAGGCCAAGGGACAGGCAGCTGGGCAGAAACCCCACCCCAAAGACCATGCTCAGCTCTCACCCCAGGGCCACTCTGATGATGACAGGACCGGGGCTGCTGGGAGAATGGGCGTTGCTGGGCTCTGCTGGTCGCCCCCTCCCACCCCTGCCCAAGGTGGCTCCTCCCCCTCCTCAATCGGTGGGAATTGGGCCTGTGGCTGGGAGGGGAACCTATCTCTTGGACTGGGAAAGTGGGGATAGGGAGCTGGGGAGCTGGATGGAGGGGGGTTGGGGGGGCAGGGAAAGCCAAGAAGCCGAAAGAATAGAAGAGAGAAGAGGAGTGAGAGATGGTGGCCGGAGGTTGGGCCAGAGGGAGCACCTAGAAGGGGGCGGCTACGTGAAGGAGCAGGTTAAAAGCAGTTGGACACCGGTAAATTGGTGCGAGCACCGCACTGTCCTAGGTGAAGCTAGTTGGTTTGTTATCTTTACCCACCAAAGCATTTACTTTGGTTAGTCGCCCGATCCACAAACACTTTCGAGGAGATGACATTACCGAAAGGGAGGAACATCTGCATCAGCTCAGCGTCCCCAAACTCCTGGGGCAGATGGTAGATGAACAGGTTACAGCCCTCGGGCCCTGCGGTGAGGGGAGGGGGTGGGGCGGGGGAGGAGGGATGGCGGGGTGGGGGGAGAGAGAGACAGAGGAGAGGTGAGCGAGTTAGGCAGCGGCAGCAGGGAGGGGTGGGGGCAAGGTTAGGAAGGGGGGTCTCATCCAAGATCCAAGAAGAGTGAGGGCTGCTGAGCCCCCAGTCTGAGCTCTGGTCTCCACTCTGCCCTTGGGCAAATCACTGAACCTCTCTGTGCCTCAGTTGCCTTTTCTGCAAAATGAATCTGTAATAGCGTGCCTGCCTGGCAATTCCGGGGCTCCAGGGGCAGAGGTGATGAGTGAATTGGTGAATGCAAGGCCAGACCAGCAGTGGAAATCAGGTGCTGAGAAGAGGCAGAGGTAGGGAGATAATGGGAGGACCTGCTGGGCGTCCCTCCTTCCCAACCACGCTGCTCAGGGGAGGACAGAGGAAATCAGCCTGGGGCAGCCACCCCGGTAGTGCTGGTGCAGGTAGGTGGCGCCTCCTATACCTATGGGGTGGCAGCTCTGCCCATCCTCCTCCCTGGCCTTTAGTTCCTTCTCATCTGGTTCCCAAAGGCCCCACCTTCTCCTGGCCCAAACCTAAAACTCAGCCCCGGTCTTGAGGACAGAAATCAAGATTTATCCTGCCTCTCAAGTGGACTAGATGTGCAAGAGGGGCTTCACAGCAAGGCTCTGCAGTTAGCCAGGGGAACCCACGAGCCTCATTACATGAAAAGCTCTCCATTTCATTACAGCAATAACAGCTCTTCCACTTCTACAGCTGTCATAGTGTCACCGCCCCCCACCCCCCGACACACACCCACATTTCACAGATGAGGAAACTGAGGCCAGAGAGGTTAAATCACCTGCCAAAAGTCACACAGCCAGTAGGGGATGGAGCCTGGATATGGATTTAGGCCAACTGCCTCCATAGTCTGTGCTTTCCTCTCTCTCTACCTAGCTGTCATAAATCTCAATACCCCAGAAACTCTGAACACAGCTGTGGCCTTTGGATTTCTGAAATTTCCAAATAGCTAAAGATTTACATTTTTCTGTTTCAATGACCCAAATTTTAGCTCTTTGAAATGGAAATTTCTCCAAGATACTTCATCTATTTCCTGCCGTCTTAAACATAATATGCCACAGATGATTTAACCTTTTAAAGGGTGGTCATTTCAACAGTTTCTAATCCATGGAAGACATGCAAAGGAAACAGTTGCATTTGTTAGTTGTGTAAGAACCAAGGTTCTGATCAGAGGCTGGTAGACTGAGCATGAACTCAAAAGTGAAGGCTGTAAGGCACCGACATAGGCTGATATGCGGCTTTTAGGGCCAGAATCAACTGTCGTGGTTTTCTGGGAAGGGCAAGGCTGCCGGATAACCCAGTCTTGGAGCAAAGAGCTCACTCTGGAGTCTCTCCGCCCTTCTCTTCTTCCTCTCTTCTCCTCTCCCACTTTCCTCTTTCCTCCCTCCAAAGACTTCTCTAACCACCAAAGCTGCCCTCTGAGCTGCTGGCCTCCCCAGTCCTTGGTCCCTGCCCTGCACCATCTGCCCACTCCTCACCCTCCCCTCCCTGGACTGCTGTGTCCCAGGCAAGGGCCAGCTGACGGCGCGTTCAGAACCGGCGCAAACATGCTCCCCCACCCATTTCCAGGGGTCCCCCATACTGGATCCCTCCAAGTTCTGGGGGCCCTCCCCTTAGCCCCATACCACTGGTTCACACTCTGTGAATTTGTCCCTTGATGGTCCCCAGCTAGGTGTGAGTGAAGGCCTAATCTAAGCCACTTCCTCCAGGACTCCCACCCAGATACTCCCCGCATTCTCTCCCTTCAGGTGCTTCCTGAGTTCATACTCCGTACTCTGCGGTCTGAGGCTTCTTCTCTTTTGTGTCTGGGAGGTTTTCTCTCCAGCCCAGATGGGACTCTCTCTAAGGGCACAGGCATTTGCTGTCTCTTGTCCTCCTGTCCATCCCACCCCCATACCAGTACCCCAGCATGTGCCTTCCCTCCTCCTCCCATCCCCATTCTTCAGAGCTTCCCTCTCCACTCCATGCCATGCCGACACCTGCCTTGAACTTGGGCCCTCACTCCAAGTTCAAGTTCTGCAAGCTGCTTTTATGTGGATGTTATGTCTGTTCTCCTTAAAGAGATAAGGAGCCTTCGAGGGCAAGACCTATAGGCTCGGTGCCATCAACATAGGCTGTGGCTCAGCCTTCCCAACCCCAGCCTCGCCCCCTGCCCCTCATCCCTCAACAGGGAGCCTACACATTGTCTTACTTTGGCTGCCCCCAAGCTCTCACTGCAGTCCCTCATTCACAGATTATAGAGCACCCAGACGGCATAACCAGCAGGACTGGTCCAACCCAGCCTTCTGGTCCAACCCAGCCTTCTGAGAAAGTGAAATAAAGTTCTAGAGCAGAAAGTAATACCCCTGACCACAGGGCAGCTCCTGGACGAGCCAGGAATGGAGCCAATCCTGAGAGTACCCTCGGCCCATCTGTGGGGCAGGCAGCCTCTGGGGATTCAGGCGTCTGCTGATTTTCAGCTCAAAGACGAGGAACTGGAAAGAGGGTCCTCCCCAGCAGCCAGTGTGTCTGGTATTTCAATGGCATTACATGGGGGATGTGACCATAATGTAAACAGACCAACCACTGGTGTGGCTAACGGAACACAGCCTTCTTTGTCATCCATTTCTCAGGTGGACATGGCTGTGGTCTGGCTCTAACCTACCCTCATCCTGTCTCCTCCGCATCCCCAGGCTCATCTCATCTTTTGCAACACTCGTACCTTTGCTCCTGCTGTTCCCCCACCTGGAATGTCCATCTCCCCATCTCTGTGTGCTGAAGACCTCATTCTTCAAGACCCCCCCAACCCCACCCCAGCACCATGAGCTCGCCCTAGGACGCAGCATGGCTCTACAGGTATCTGGGTTCGCATCTCATCCTTCCCGAAGCTCTGCTCCCCAGGTTGGCTCATCCTGTGCACCACCGTCAGGGAGAATGGGGACCACAGTGGGAGATCCCTTGGCCCGAGGGGAGGCTGCAGCGGTGACTGGCCACACAGCGTCTGGTCTAGGGAGCAGGGCATGGCAGTGGGGGACTGAAGCTGCTCAGAGATGGAGAGATGGTGTGAGTAGTTCAGAGCTAGACGCATGCAGTAGTCTGAAGTGTGAGGTGGGGGGCAGGGCAGGGAGTAGATGAAGGACCTGAGTTTAAGGCCAGTGGTAGGGGCTGTCATGTGTTGTTCAGAGCATCACCAACCTATAGCCGTGTGTGAGTGTGGGTGTGAGTGTGGGTGTGGGTTTGGGTGTGGGTGTGTGTAGCAGGGTTTGGATACCCCTGGGCCCACAACCCAGATTGCTGTAGGGCTAGGGTGGGTCAGCCTGAAGCCAATGGAGTGACAAAAGTAGTAGAGCCTGTGGGCTCAGCTCTCTGTTCTGCAATGGGCCACACCGGGATTCCTGGACCCCACTCTTTGTGGCTCTGATCTGACAGGTGTGGTGCTGGAAGGCTTGGACTGGGTGAGAAGAGGGCAGAAGCGGGACAGGCTCCAGGGCCACAGCCCTGTGAGGGATCCTAGTAGAGGCTGGTGCCTCACCCCCACTTCACTGATGTGAGCCCAGGTGTCACTCAGGCATGGGCAGAGGGTCCCACTATGCAGGACTCCAAGGCTGAGAGGGGAGGAGACTCACATGATTTTGCTTCCAAGCCCAGGCTCTTAGCTGTTCAGGCTCTGGGACTTGTCTGAAGAAAGGGGTTTGGATAAGCAGACCCCTGGGGGTCTTCCAGGACTAACCTACAGCCCCAGCTCTGGAATGGTCTGCTGCCGAAGCTCTCTGCCGGCCATCTGGAGATGAGTGGAAACCCCTGGCCATATGCGCTACTGGGGCAGATGTGGTAGCCTCGCTGGCCAGGTGACCCTTTTCATGGGGTCGAGGGGGATAGGACCTTGTCAATGTTCCTGCCCCATGGAACTAAGCTCTCTCAAGCTCAAGGAATCCCTGAGGGCAGACTTGTTTATGCAGCTCCGATAGGTCTCTAGACTCTGAAATGGGTGGGCACTGGAGGTCTTTATGAGTCTCAGCGTCCTGGGCCCACTGGCCTTGGCTGGCCCACCCTGTTCACACCACAGCCTATGGATGTGGCTTTCTAGGATCTCCTTCCACTAGGCCTGCACTGGGACATTCCAATCCCCTCACCTGCCCATGGACGCCTGCCCTGGGAGCTCTACCTCAGAGGCACAACTTCTGTCCATGCTGAACTGGTCTCCCAACTCCCTCAACACCCAACCATGAACATTCCTACTTTTCCACTTCCTCTCCACTGGGAAAGAGGGGATTATTGGACCACAAGTCATCCAGGGCCCCACCTTCTTAATCTCCCACCAGTGGGGTTTGCAGAGATGCCCACGCGAGTTCCGCCTCCGTGTTTGGATTGGAGAGCACCGCATCTCACAATCCTGCCTTCTTCTCTCACCCTCGACACAGCACAAAAACATGGCCATCTTTCCAATAAAGTATCCAGCCAAAGGCCCAGGAGAGCGGCCTCTTTGCGGGGAGAAGGGGATGGGGAGGGGCCTGGGAGCCCGGCTCGCAGACTCACCTTCTCTCTGTTGCTGGGGGATCATTGGAGGTGGCTGAGGAAAGGCCTGGCTTATCTGACCATAGGCAGCAGGGTAGGCGGCTGCTGGAGGGCCAAAAAGAGGCAAGAGCGAGAGACGACAGTGACATGGAGAGAGACAGGGTAAGAGGCAGGAAGAAAGAGAGAAATTTCAGTTTTGAGCAGTAAAAGCAGACCAGCCAAAAAGTGCATTTCAGCTCAGACACTCAAGATAAAGCCAGCTTTCAGTAGTAATGAAGGAGAAGCAGCAGAGCGAAGAGGACAGTGTGTGCATAAACGTGAGTACGGGGGTGTGTGTGTGTGTGTTGCCTAGCCCGGGGGTGGGAGGGAGAGAATTGTGACTGACAGCTCGCCTTGGGCTTTCTACAGTGGCTGGTCTCCTTCCCATTCAGTGACCCAAGAACATCTGCTCGCCCCAGGGCTGCCTTTTCTGGCCCCTCCTTTTTTCTACCTCTGGCTGCCGATCCTCCCTGGTTCCCTGTCATCTTTGCTCAGGTGCCACTCCAGCTGCCTGTGTATGCCTAAGAAGAAGCAAGAGGTAGAAACTGCTTCCCCTCTAGGGCCTCTCTTTCCTTCAAACCCAGGCATCTATGCTTCCTGGGCCAGTGACTGTGGACAGCGGTGGGCAGCCCCCCAGCTCTGGCCTCACCCCCAGTGCTGCTGTGTACCTTGCTGCTCCTGGACAAATTGGCCCTGGCAGCCCCAAGAAATCTGGCCTCACAGATGGGTAACTGCACAGCAAAGTCAAATCTTCAGCCTGGTTCACCAACTTGTTCAAAGTTTTGACCACCTACCACTGCAAGGGCACCTAGGCTATGATGGGTAAAATCTGCCTGAATGCTAGGGGGCCTGAAGAGAAGTAGTAAGCCAGGAGTTGGTAAAGCCCTCCCTCCTTCCACCGAAGCCCCCTGCCACACCCTCCTCCTCCTCCCTCCCACACAGTGCTGGGCCAAGGCCTGGGAGGGGGGGCACTAGAGCCCAGGCAGGAGTGGGGAGAGCCGTGGGGACGTGTGGATACTAACGACCTGCATACTGCTGCACTCCAGCGTAGGCCTGCTGCAGGGGGTCCGCGGCGGTGGGGCTCTGCGCTGCAGGGGAGCCAAGGGAGCAGAGGTCAGTGGTGCCCACCCAAACCAGCCCCTCCCCCACCATGCCCATGGAGATGACACTGTGGTTACATTGCCCCCTCAGCCACTGTGGTATCTGTCCTGGGGCAGGTAATCTGAAACAGGAACCCTGAGTGCCTGGACTCTGTTGGGGTTCCCTCTTCCTCAGTCCAAGGCCCTTTAAATAGAGTGGAGGTTGCCCACCCTGGCTGGCAGATGCAGCTGCAGCTGGCGTGAGGTGAGGTAAGATGGGTGGTTCATGCAGAAGGCTAAGAAGGGCTGGGAAAGAGATGGCAGAGGAGGCTTTGCCATGAGGGGCTTCGTGGAGACACACGAGGGAACTGGCCATGGAGAAGGGCTGTGGGAAAGTGGGAAAATGGGCAAGACACTGTCAGAAGAGTGATCTCATTCTCACTTATCCTCAGCAGAAGGCGGGGGCATATCCCAGCTGAGTGAAAGAAAGGGCACAGGAGGCCTCACTCTGCCACTCTGTCCTCCCAGGCCGCCCACGCCTGCTCAGAGGGACCCCATCCCTTATTCTTAGAGAGTTTGCAAAAAGCGTGGAGGCTTCTATTCCTAGGCCATGGCCAAGTCACCCTCAGCAGGGACTGGCCACACAAATGAGGTATGCCCCCATGGGCTGGGAGAAGGGTGGTGCCCACAGAAACTGAAGAACAAGCAGACCAAGGACCTCCCTCCCACCCAAATTCGTGACTCTGGGATGTCTACTGCCTTGTGCAAAGAGAAAACCCTTGTGCTGATACTTTGGCAAGCAACTTAGAGCATTTGGACTTGAGAAAGGCTTAGTTCACTTATTGCCTCTCCTGTGTCTGCAGAAGCTGTGAGCAAAAGCCTGGTGCATGGGCCAATGGTGGGTACTGCCTTTGGTGACCACAGCTAGTGATGACTGCCATGGGACTGGGCCAGGGAGGTGGATGAAGACACATCTAGCCACAGTATGTTTAGGGCAAACTGGATAACAAAGGGAGGCAGAAAGAAAACCATCTAGGCTTATTTGCCTGGTGACCTAGGCCTGCCAAGCTAACAGGCAGAGCCAGACTTTGGGTCTGTAGACCAGGCTGAATCCTCAAACTTCTCTTTTGAGCTCTTGTTTCTAAACCTCAGTAAAGTCTCACTAGAACAATAGCACCTGGGCCTCAGGGGAACCAAAGGAAATCCTGTGGCAGAGATCTTCAGAGACAGTGCAGATGACCGCAGAGGAGCTGGGCCAGGGCACGGCTCAGAGGGGGAGCTGAAGACGGGTCAGGATGCAGGCCCTGGCCTGACCCTATCCCACCCCGATCCCTCTATTGCCCCGATGGTGGAGACTGAAGCCAGGAGCTCCCTGTGCTGAGGTGGTGGTGCTGCTCAGTAAGGTGGGCCTCTTCCTCCTTCCTGCTGCTTCCTCTCTCCGACCCCTCTACCAGCCTCAGTTCTCCGGAGGGAGAGCCACATCCAGCTTGTCCCTTGGTCTCCCCAGCTACTCAACCACCTAGTACCTTCATGCAAATTAGAAAAAAGTTTCTCTTCCTCTGGGCACAATTTGGTGCACTGTTTAAAATAAAACCCGAACAATTTACGTGAGAGCCCCCACCTGGCACAGCACCAGGATCATAGCGAGTGCTCAGCAATACTGTGACATAAAGAATGAATGAATGGTCCTTAACGTTTGTGAGAGCCACCCCTTCAGGGGTGTTATGTGGCAGTAAAGGCCACACTGTGTGCTTCCAACATGGTCTCGATAAGCAAGAGGAGAGAATGAAGAAGCTACCTGGGGTTTTTTTTTCCTGAGACCCCTCTCTACTTCTCTGCTTAATGACCTCATTAGTAACTGCCAAAGGATGAACATTTTGAAGGATCTCGCTCATTATAGTGGCTCCAAACTCCGCATTCAAAGATGGTAAATTAATTTTTCTAATGTACTACTTTTCTCCTTTCCTTTCCTCCATCCCTCCCTCCTGCTCTGGCAGGGAATTGTTTATAGAATGTGGCAGATTGTTACAAATGGGGGAACATAGCATTTCCAAATTCCATGAGTAAAATAGCTCACAGATGCTGGTGGAGGTGGGTAAGGAACAGGTTTGTCAAAATCCGTGGCTCCAGATGGGCTTGTGGGCATGGAGGAGGGGGGAAATGAAACCACCCAGATGTGCTGGGGACTGTATCTCCCAGCCCAGGAGCCTGAGGCAGGAGGAGCCCAGGAACTTGAGACTGGTAGGCTCTCTCCCACCTCCAGCTTGCCAAGCCCCTGCTCGGTCTCTCTTGCCATCCTGGAGTCTTCATTCTGAAACAACACTCCAGACCCTCTGGGCCCTACTGATTCTCTCTAGGCTTCTCTGGCCTTTTCTCTATGAACTGAGGGGTGAGTTGAGAAGCAAGCACTGGGACAAGATCAAGGACAACTCCAAGTTCAAGGTCAGGACATTCTCCTCTATTTTTCTCTAGCACAGTGACCTTGTACTCTGCTGCTGCTAGAACTTGTATATTCTCTGGATATCTGGGCCTCATTCCAGACATTGAAATCAGAATCTCTGGGCTTCTGAAGTTTTACAAAGCCACACAGTGGATTCTGATGGGCAACCAGAGTGGGAAGCACTACTTTACCCTCCACTGCTGAGTCACATCAGGCTGACCTCTTCTGCCCTTGTGAGGCCAACCTCCTCACCATCCCCTCTTCCTCTTTCTGGGCCTCCAGGACAGCTGCTCCATGTTCACCCTCCTCTCTCCAGGCCCTACCCATCTCTTAAAGTCCAATCTGAGCCTCCTGTCAGGATAGCTCTGTTGGGCTTCTTCAGCCTACAGAACTCTCCCTTCATTTGAATTCTTTAGTACCTCAAGTTGGAGAGCATTCACTCTTGATCAAACTCCATTTTGCTTATTGTTTCAACATTCGGTCAATGTATACTGTGTTCCTGACTAGACTTTACCTCCCAGGAGACTGGCTCACATCCTGCTCTCCTTCTTGCCCCGTTCCCTCTTTCATCCAGCACACACTGGCACATAATCATAATTATGGGGACTCTGTAACCTCATCATCTGCCCTCTGGGGAAGAGGACAGCACTTTTTACATCCCTAATACACTGCCCCTTGCTGGTTTACTCTAGGGCTTTGAGCTCAGCTTTCCTGCTCTGTCACTCCATCCTCAAGACCAGAGACAGGAGCACATGGGAGAATTGCTAAGTTCGAGAGGAACAAAGTTAATTAGGAATGGGCCTCCTGGATCTTCCTGTGTGCCATCATTCATGGAAGCGGGGCCTAGGAGCTGTCCGAGGTCCTGATCCTCTGTCCGAAGTGCTGACCGGGGTTTTGTGTGAACCAAGGAACCAAACTGGTACGTCCCTGCCAGAATGCCAATGTATACACCTCCCACTCCTTCCCAAAAGAGTCTTTTCCTGTTTAGCACTAAATATAATTATTCTTCAAGCTTCTACCCCCTCATTTATTGTGGGTCAAATTCACTATTAATTTGCAGTTACTAACTTCTCTACCTGGTTGTAAAATTACATCTATTCTCTTTTTCTCCCCTGAAGGAGTCCCAGGAATGCGGTTCTTTCTCACCTATCAGACTAACACCTCTTCAAGGATGGGAATTTGTTCTCTCCCACCAGAAGCTCCCTGAGAGAAGACAGAAAGCTGGTTCTCCCTGATCATATTTGGGGTTCCGCTAAGGAACGGACAGAGGGCAGGAGACACACATTCTCTGTTATAACAGCAAAGGCAAGGATAGAATGAATGAAGAGTGTGCTGCATGGGTAAGGAAGGGCTGCCAGATGTGCTTACCTGGGTAGGGATGGATGCCATTGGCAAACACAGCTTCTGCAGCAGGCTGCCCATTGGCCTGTGGGGGGAGGCCGGTGAAGCCGTTCACCCCAATGGGGGATGGGATGCTAGGCACGGCTGGTGCAGTGATGCCCGGAGGGGTGCTGCCACCTGGTTCCAGAGGTTGAAAGGGGTGGAGGAGGAGGGGAAGCAAGCAGAACAAAGGTGAAGAAAGACAACTCATGGAGCTGCACCTCCTGGTTCCAAGGGCCTGGGGATAGACTTGGATCTCACACACAGATGCAGTCTTGTCTGTGAATCATGCCTTGGATTGTCTTTCTGCATAGAATGATTCCACTCATTTCAACTGTACCCATCTTTCAAGGCAAAGTCCAAATTCCACCTACCCATTGAAGACTTCCTTGACCACTGACCACTCAGCCTTGGAAGTGCAGCACATAGACTATTCTCAGTGCCCTTGACTTTGATCACACTTGGTCTTCCTTTAGTCTTTTTCAGTAGTTCTTGCTCACCCCAGCTAAGTCAGGATGGGCTGGTCCTTGTTTAGCCACCAAGGGGTTTCTAAGTTGCTGGCTCTGCTCTCTTGTCTGGATCACTGAGGGGCTGATCTGTCTCCCCAGCAAGGAGTTTTGCTACTTAGGTGGAGGAGGTCTTAATTCTGGAGTTCCCCTGCAATGAGGGAGAAAGGACTTTACAGAGTCCAGACTCAGCCTTATCCATACACAAAGTAGACGCCTTGACCTCCTCCAGTTGAAGTAATGGTGATGCTCATCTCCACGAGGGTAAATATGGGTCACATGACAATGACAATGCCCTGTGTCCTCCCTATGTGAGGTGAATGTAACCCAAGGTGTGGCTGGGTGATTGTACTGAGGCCCCAGAGGCTGGAAAGGGCCTTCCTCTTTGTGTAAAAAGCAGGGTCTCTTTGGGGATAGGGACCTCAGGCTGGCCTGGGCTCAGAAGTGTCCCTAAGTTGGAGACCAGAGCTGTGGGGTAGTGCTCAAGTTAGGCCTGAAGATGGCACAGTCTTCTTTTTCTATGGCTTTTATCTGGGAAAGAAATAGCTCCTGGGTGTCATGAAGGCTGCTGCTATGACTTGGGTGCAAAGAGCAAAGGAAGCTTGGTGAATGAGAGCCTTGCGTGTTGGTCCATCCCTTGGGACTAGAGGTTTTCTCAACTTTGATACTATTGACATTTGTAGCCAGACATTTCCTTGTTGTGTGTGTATGGGGGTGGGGGGCACTGTTCTGTGCATTGTTGGATGTTTAGCAGCATCCCTGGCCTCTACCTACTGGATTACAATAACATCTCCCTCTCCAAGTTGTGAAAAACAAAAATGTTTCAGGATATTGTCAGATATTGGGGTTGGGGGCACCAAATTGTCCCGGTTGAGAATCACTGAACTAGACAATAATCAAGATCCAATTAAAAACACGCTTCATGAGCAAAACTCTTTCCAACCTCCCTGTCCTTCAACAACTGTGGTTCTCTCTTGCTTGTTGCATAGTTGTCTTGGAAAAAGCCAGTGATTCTACATTGGGTTAAAGGGAAATTAAAAATGGACTCTTCCTCTGTTTGGGCCAGGGACCAAACAAGGCTACAGAATGGCCAAAACTCTTCTCCCCTCGGACCTCAAAGGGAGATGTGTTCATGTCAATTTCTTTCAAAAATGACTTGAGTGAAATTCCCACCACCCTGAAATCACATCATGGACTGGATGGGGCTCACATCCCATCCTCCCTTGGGTCCCGAGGGATTAGAACATTTTTGAGACAAACTGACAAAGGACGAGGCCTGCTTGAGCCCAGATGCCATGTAATCTTGCCACAGGATGGTCCATTGATAGCCAAAATTGGCCACGCAGAAGGTCCAGCCTGGGTCTAGTTGCTCTCCTGCTGGGCCGTGTCCTGTGTTGGTATCTGCCAGCTCACCTGAGGTTGGGGTCATGGGCGCGGCTGCCAAGCCGTTCATGTTGAGGGCCGCCATCTGCTGCATCTGGGCGGCGGCGAAGGCAGCCATGGGGTTCAGGTAGCCACCCTGTGCGACTGATGCCATTAGTGCCGCTTGCTGTTGCATCAGCTGGGGCAGAGGGAGTGGAAAAAATATCATGCGCTTCCAGGGGGGCAGCCCACCCCACCACCAGGGGGCTCAGCTCTTGGACACCAGCCTCCCAGGCCCTGAACTCCAGGGAGCTGAGACACATTCCCCACCCCCACCCCCAGAGAATCCTGATGTCTCCCCCGTTCCTGCCCTAGTTCTCAATGGCTATTAGAAACCACTCCTGAGAGGGAACTATTCAAAAGTAGCAGAGGATTATTAAGGACTCTAAAGTTGTTGTAAAGAGTCGAGGAAGGGGACTGGCTCCATGGGTGCCAGGTCAGCCCTGTGAAGGCCTGTCATTCATGGAGATGTGACACCCAAAGCTCTAGAGACACGTTAGATGAGCCTCTGCAGAATTAACTTAGCATGGATTTCTGTCCAAATGTTCTTACAAAAGTGAGTGGGGACTGGAGAGGTTGTTAAAACTGGCTAAATTTGGATACTGCTGAAGGAATGAGGTGAGCTTGCATTTTTAGAACCAGAACCCTGGCCTACCTCAGTACCACCCATGTGGGGGTTGTGGCTACATGTCTGGGAGACAGCTTAGGAGAGATGCTGGCAGAGCAGGCCCCAATGCGAAAGAAGTCGGTGGGCCAGGCAGGGCCTGGGAGAATGGCAGGGGATACATGGCTGTGATGGGCTTTGGGGAACCTCACAGGACCCTTGCCAGGAGTGACCAGAGGTCTGAGGACACCCTTCTATGAGTGGGGACAGGGGTGGGGTGGTGAAAACCAAACACCTAAACTTCTCTCCCTCCTTCCAATTGGTGCTTCCTAGGATTTGACTAGAAGGAGAGCATTCAGGGTAATTCACTTTGCTGGCCTGGCTAGAAGCTTTCTCTCCAGCTCCCCTCCTTAAGAAGCAGGACAGCAACCCACCTCCTCCTGGCAGCCACCCTAGATTGGACCAGCCTTCTCTCAACCCCCTCTGGCTTCCACTTCCTGGGTTCATTCCTGACCACTGTTCACTCCCCAGGGCTAGAGCAGTATTTTCTGGGCCAAGAATAGGGCTTCCCTCAGCAGTTAAGTGTCCCTGATGTAGGGTTCTAAGCAGAGTTAGCTAGAGAACCGCTGCCCCCCCCACCCGTTCACGCCCCCACTTACTGCCTGTGCGTAGGCACCGTAGGCCCCGAACGGGATGGCCATGGGGTTGAACATGCCCATCTGGCCAGCCATCTGCTGCATTCGCCGCATCGTGCGCTCCTTGTCGGTGTCGGCGAACTTGACCACCAGACTGGATGAGGCTCCCTGAAGCCGGGACTGCGCGTGAGGCCCACCTGCCCTAGCCGCTTCCGCTCCCAGCCGTCCAGCTAGCTGTCTGTGCCCTTGACCTAGGCCCACCCTTTCCTCTCCGTAGGGCGCTAGTGGGGGGTGGGGAGCCCACACCGGTGCTAGCCCAGGAGTCTGGGGTCTTAACTCAACCGTGGGCATTTTCTGTCTGGGTGACCGCGAGCCAGTTCCTTAACATCTCTGGGCCTCAGTGTCCTTAACTGAGAAATGGGATAATGGTAATGTTTTCCTATCTCACGGGGAAGCTGTGAGCGCGGCACGCGTTTGTCACTGTAAGGACCGAGCACAAGGGCGAGAGGGGGCGCTGCTGGTGCGCTGGGTTGGGCTGGGGTGTCGGTCCGCCACTAACCCCGTCCCCGCCCCGCCCAGGGGTGGCCTCACTCACCGGCATGGTCTGGCTGCCGTGCAGCGCATTGATGGCGGCTTGCGCCTCAGCGTGAGAAGAGTACTTCACAAAGGCGCACCCTGCGGGGACAGGAAAGGCTGAGCCAGGGTCCAGGGGCTCAGAGGAAGGCCAGGGAAGCGCGGGGACTGTGAGGCGGGGCGCGGAAGCGACCGAGGGGACAGGGTGCATCCCAGAAGAAAGCAGAGCAGGTGAGACAGAAAGACCGAGAGAAAAAGAGACACCGAGAAACGCAGAGACAGAGAAAGACCAGGACGGGCCGGAGATTTAAAAGTACCCTAAGTCTCCCCGTCCCTGTCTGGACTTGGATCGCGACCCTTCCTTACCCACAGACCCGACTGCCTCGTCCCTTCCAGGCATCCCTTCCTGGCTTGAGGGTCCCGGCCAGCTCTCGGCGGCTGCGCACTCCGCCAGCAGACGGGCGCGGGGGAGACCCCACCCGGCTCACTCCCGCCCCACCCGGCTCACTCCCGCCCCACCCCCACTCACCCTTGCTGTTGCCGTCGGGCCCGCGCAGGATGGTGCACTCCTCTATATTCCCGAAGGCTTCGAAGAGGCGGCGCACGTCGTCCTCAGACTGCTGCTTGTTGAGCATACCCACGAAGAGTTTTCTATCTTCTGGAACAAAATTAGGAGATGCTTACCCGGGCCGAGGGCCAGGCGGCGCGTGGGCAGGCCCGGGGTGAACAAGGCACGGCGGGAGGAGAAGGGTTTCGGGAGAGAAGAAACTGAGCAGAAGCGATGGCGATGGCGGGGTCTCAGGGAGAAGATGGGGGCGAGGGTGGGGCATAGCCCGCTGGGAAGATGAGGGAGAAGGGGTTGGGTCAAGCGGGATTGGGATTGCAGCGACTCTGCCCCCTCCTGCCTAAAGGGCAAGCCGCCCTGTGAGGGAGCAAGGCCGCTCGTCTGGCCGCTTGCTTAGGACAAACGGATCGTTCAGGCAGCCCTGAGATCCCTCTTTCCTCCTCTTAGACACACAGTATCTTCCTCAACCACCTTCTCTCACAAATGCCAAAAATTAACTCACAACAGGCAAGTCTGCCACAGGGCCTTTGCATATGCTGTTCCCTCTGCCCTCCTCATCCTCCACATCACAAGGCTGATTCTTTCTCCTACGTCTCAGTTTTATTGCTTCCTCATCAAGTCCCCTCCTTCCACCTCTCCTTGATCTCCGTCTCAGCCCCTCACTCTCATGGCCTGAATTTCAAAGGACAATTATTTACTGCTTTGCCTGTGTAGTTGGTTTCTATCTAGCTTCCTGCCACCATCCCTCCCTCAATGTGTGCTCCCTGTGGAAGAGACCAGGCCTTACTGGAGCAGCAGTACCTGGCACATAGCAGGCCCTCAGGACAGACTTATGGAATGAATGAATGCTTTACGCCATTCGCGGGGACGCATCTCTTTTCTGTCTCACGTGTTTTTGCCTCCATCTGGTGCCCTCTCCTTGCTCTGGGTCTTCTTACTTGTTCATGCTGCAAATTCAGCCCTGGGGACTTTTGAAGAGCCTGTTCCTGAAGACTGGGCTCCCTCAGCAGCTCCCGCCACACTTGTGTTGAGTACCAAATGATTTGCTGACGCAACTCAGCTGTGTGCTTAGGGTGACAGAGGTCACATTGGGTTGTCTGTATCAACTCGTGACTTTGAAAAGATTGTCCACCTTGCAAGCTCTTTTTTCTTTCTTTTCTTTCTTTCTTTCTTTCTTTCTTTCTTTCTTTCTTTCTTTCTTTCTTTCTTTCTTTCTTTCTTTCTTTCTTTCTTTCTTTCTTTTCTGCAAGCTCTTATTTTGATGTGACTTCACGCCTCCCATTGAGCAGTGGGGTTTATGTGCCCTACCCTTGAATCTGAGTAGGGCTTGTGACTGCTCTAGAAGTGATGCCATCTCATTTCCAAGGCGGGGTCATAAAAAGGATCAGCTTCCACTCAATTCTCTCTTTTGGTGATACATGCTTTGTGGAAGCCAGCCACCATGCTATGAAGAACCCCCAACCGGCCCACACCATGAGTGCATACAGAAAGGAACCGAAGCCCCCAGCTGACAGTCAACATCAACCACCAGACACGGATGAGGCCTCAGATGATTCTAGCCCCTAGCCTTTGAGTCTTCTGCCTGAGGCCCAGACATCCTGGAACAGAGACAGGCCTTCCATGCCATGCCCTGTCTGAATTTCTGATCCACAGAATCCGTGAGAATAATAAACAGTTGTATTATACCACTCACTTTGGGAATAAATTGTTATACTGCCATAGTAGCTGGAACAGGGGGCCTGTGGTGACAGTACTCAGCAGGTACTCACTAGATATGTGTTAACTACTGAAGACTGGCACACACAGGCATACACAACCAAGGCTGCAGAAATGCACACACACACTCCTCTCAAAGCTGCAATCAGCCATGTGTTTATGATTTTCTCTGAAGGCAAGGGCACTCTGAGACCATGTCTCTCTGTATTCAGGGTGGTTGGTACCTCCTGCCCCCTTACTCACACTGCCAGGAGAGTTCACATAGAGCTGAGGGGCTGGAACAAAGTAGAGAAAACCTCCAGGTCCCTGCACTACTTCACAAGCCACCCCAGAGTCTTCCTCTTCAGGAAGGCCTAACCACTACCCTACTGGTACCGCTCAGCCCAGAGCACTCAGCACTGGGCAAGTTCTCAGTGATGAGATGGCTCTGGGTTCCAACTCCTTCCATACCCTGCAGTGCACCACTGCCATTTCCTCTGACCAGTTCTGGGTCAGGGCACTCTAGCCTGCCCTCCACAACTGATAAGCTTCAGCCAAAGCTCCGGGCCCGGGGCCCTGACCCCGCCGCCTGCCCCAGCCTGGGCTACTCTACCTGGCTTCTCCAGCCATGGCAGGGCTGGACACACCACTACCTCATCTCCAGGGCTCACCAACTCCAAGCTAGGAAACCAAGAGAAAGGGAGAGAGAGAGAATAAAAGGAGCGAAGCTGAGGAGGGATGGCAGGAGATGGGGTCAGGAGAAGAGAGGGAGGGAAAATGGCAGACATGGATGAAGGAGAAAGAATTAGAAACAGACAAAGAACAAAGAGAAGAGACGGGTAGGAAAGGGCAGAGACAGAGGAGAGAAGGTAGAAGGGCTTATGTTTAACTACTGGAAACAGCAACAACACTTACATAAAATGAACTGGGAGCTTTTAAAGCCTTTAGTGGAGTAATTGAAACTCTTCTCCAGGCCCAGAGCAGTGCTCCCCCATTCCCAATGCCTTTTAAAGGCTCCGAATTAATGGGATTTCCAGAAAGAAAAAGAAGTGGAAACCGCCTTCTGCTAATCCCAGGCCCTCCTACTTAAACATTTCTTCTCCCTGGGAAGGAAAAAGGAGGGGAAGAGAAGGCCCCTCCTCTGCCGGAGCCTGATTTAAATGCTGGGACCTCAGCTCTGAGCCTTCTCTCCTGACGTCTGAATGTATTCCTTTATTATCATCATGACAGCTTTCTGATTGCATTAAAATTCATCCACACGTGCCTTTCTACCCAGCCACTTCCCTTTTGCCAGGTTTTTTTTTTTTTTTTTTTTGCTAATTCCTTCTTCCCCTTCCCCTGAAATCTCCCTTTACTGCCCAGTTCTTAGTTCTTTGCGCTAGGCCTGAGTCCTTCCTTCTTGAAAACTTTCCAAACGTGAAGGGAGTGAGGCTCCCCCTCTTGTTACTTGTCTAGATTTTCCCAGGGAAACTACAACTAACCTCTGAAGGCCGCAAGAAACCAAAGAAACCTAGCTCCAGACTCACTTCCTCCGGGGGTTCTTGAATGACTCCGCCCAATGCAAAGGCTCGTTTGTTTCTAGCATCCTCAAATGGATTCGGTTTGTGTCCTCTTCATTTCCAATTGGCTTTTGTTACTAGGTGAGCAATTCTAAGGCTTGTCTTTTAACATCAGCGCCTGGAAGGACTCTGAGTCTAAGGGTGGATCTCCTTCCAGCTCAGGCCCCCTGGCTCAGACCCCAGGGCCGCTGTACTCCAGCTGTACAACTGCTCCCCGCCTCAGTTTTTAGGTCTATAAAATGGGCATAACTAGGCCCTCCTTCTGTGGCGGGTGCTAGGGTTCCAGGAGATGCTGCGGGGACAGAGCCTGGCTAGCAGTAATAACAACGGTGATGACCATTACTGTGACTCTATTCAGGAAGAGGAGGACATGGAGCACCGTTCCCCGCTTGGTTTGCCTTGCCCTAATTCGAGGAGGAGACAGAGGTCATTTGGGGAAGAAGTCAGAAGATCCACCTCTGATGGAGAACACTTGAAGTAATAGGCAGGACTTCACTTAGGCTGTGGCTGACCAGCTGAGATGCACAACCTCCCCATCTTCTCACCCCCCTGTGGCCACTTTCCCAAGGCACTGTACTTAAGCTGTGTCAGATGACCAATGATAGGTAACGTTTGGCTGGTATCTCGGATCTGATACCAGTGAGTCTCAGAGAATGACTCAGTTCCACACCCCACCATTGACACAGACTCCTACTTCTTGGGACAGGCTCAGCAGTCCCTGACCACAGCCCACCTGTCCCTGGGTGATGGTGAGGCTATGGTGCTGTCACTTCCCCCCATGAGCCCTAAGCATGAACCCACTCTTGGGGTATGAGTGTATTGCTGTTCCTCTGAGGCGATTCTCATTTAGGTACTGCTGGAACTGGGCCATACAGGGTACCTTGAAGGAAGATGAAGACAGTAAAGATCTCAGAGCCATGGTGGAGCTGGGTGGGAGGTCGCCGAGGCCACATGATGCCCAGACATGTGGTGATCAAGTGGAGGGTGGTCTGAAGCCCTGTATCCTCCTCTCAGCAGAGCCCAGCGTAGGGCAGGGTGCTGCATTATGCTCACCTTCTGACTCCCAGGGCTGAGCACAGTGGCTGGCACAGGAAAGCACTGGCTGTCAGGCTCTTGCAATCATTCAACTACTTGCTGAGCACCTTCTCTATGCTAGACACTGTTCCAAGCATTGCTTCTAAAGCAGTAAACAAGAAAGGTGAGTCTGCTCACTGGAGCTCACATCTAGATGGGGAGACAGGACATCCACAAGAAACAAGTTCCCAAATAAGACAAAAGTCCTCAGGGCCATCACACAGTGGCTCCTAGAGCTGCTGTGTCCTACTTAGGAGGAACAAGGCCACAGAACGGCAGAGCTGGGAAGGACCCCAGAAAATACCAAGGGCCTCACCTTTTTTTAGATGAGGAAATTTGGGGCACAGAGGGAGCTCAGGATAAACATCTGGGGTTCAGACTAAACCTAGTCTCTTGACTTTCCAACATTGTACCCCGCTGGCTGCTGCCTTCCTGCTCTTTTAAAATGTGAGGGCCTGTGTCTGGGGTTGGGGGCGGGGTGAAGGAGCACCTTGGGTTCTGGGGAGCCTGAACCCAAGGAAGGCAACTTGGCTCACTGTGCCCAGATGTCCTGCCACCACTGCTGGAGAGTGGGCATAGTTTATGCCCCCAGGCCCCCACCCTCCACCAAGGAGCTGTGGGTGGAAGAAGCCAATAAAATAATGGATGAGAAAAGTACCCAGTTCTGTCAGATGAAGGTGTTTATGGCAACCTCAGGAGGGACTGGACCAGAGCACCTGTCATCCCTCTTGGGTCTATCCCTCGGTCATGCTTTCGGCAGGCATT